CCCCTCCTGCCCCCGCCACCCTCCTGGGAAGGACCCCAAGCCTGGGGCTGGAGTGCTGCTCCAGGTTCCTCCTTGGGTGCCCCCACACTGAGCAACCCCTCGCTAAGCCACTTCTCCTCTCCTGCTGGGGAAGGTGCAGAAGGGAAGGGAGCACACTCAGCTGGGTAAGGACACTGGGGAGGCCTTCGCCCTAGGATGGGTGGCCCTGTGCAAGGCAGGCAGTTCTACTGCCAGGACTGTGTGCATGTGTGTATATATGTGTGTGTATGTGTGCATATGTGTGTGCATGTGTTTATATGTGTGCTATGTGTATATATGTGTATGCATATGTATATGCATGCATGTGTGCAGTATATATGTATGTGTATGTCTGTCTATGTACGTGTGTGTCTCTCTGTGTATGTGCATCTATATGTGTATGTATGTACATACATGTGTGTATGTGTGTTTGCTATGCATGTGTGTATGTATTTGTATGTGCATGCATGTGTGTTGTGTATATGTGTATGTGTGCATGTGTATGTGTGTTATGCATATTGTGTGTATGTGCATGCACGTGTATGTGTGTGTTTGTGTGTGCACACACATGTGTGTGTGTGTGCATGCATGTTGAGGGGTTGGTGGAAGGAACCTGGCAAGTGCCAGCTGGCCATTCCTGTCCCCAGGCCTGGCCCTGCTCTGCACTGGGGCAAATGGGCAGGTGTCTCAGGGCCTTCCTCTCAATGACACCCGCGGGAATGTGGAGTGTAAACAGCCGTCACAAGTGACCTCTGAGGCAGCTAAGTTCTCAGTCCTGGATTCTGGTTAGTGAGTGGCCTGCCCTGTTCCCAGGGTCCCTTGAGTCTCATCCCCCCTCCCTGTTCTCTCCCTGCGATGTGGAGCTGGCCTGGGCACTGTACCCCACATGGGCTCTCCTTTGAAATTGGAGGGAGGGCCTGGGGAGGGGAGCTAGAAGTGCAAGGATGCTGGAGGGCAGAGAGTAGCCAGGAGGTACACTGAGAAGCAACTTCACAAGGCCATGTGGCCCTGCAGCTCCCCAAGGCTGCCCAGGAGAGTGTCGCTAATACCAGCACTGCCCTCTAAGATCACTTGGCTCTTTGAGTTGGCAAACAATGTTCTGTCAAGTCCTTGCTGTTTGCTTTTTCTTGATGACTGAGAAGAATAACTGTTTTCTCCCTGCTTGCCTGGGGGAACCCCTGGACCCAGGGAGGGCCGCTGACCTGGAGGCCAGGCTGTGCAGGCTCCATGGGCTGCTCTCCTCAGCGTCATCGGCCTCAGGGACATGGAGGGCCACGGTGGACGCCTGCAGGAAGCTGCCCTCCTCCGAGCTCGAGCCGCAGGGCGCCAAGCAGTGCTCCTCCTCCCCCTGGTGGCAGGAACAAAAGAGGCGGCCAGTGTCAGAGGCCCCTGTGCCCCCTCAGCCCCACCCCTGCACTTGAGACTGCTGGGGTTCCTAACCCGAGAAGTTCTGGGCTCTGAGGGCCCCAGAGGAGGCGGCAGGCAGGAGCACCCTCCCCAGGGCCCCTGCTCTGCAGCCTCAGGGACCCGCGCCAGCTCTTCCTGCCCTCTATTTGAAGCAGAGCTGGATGCCAAGTGCCCACCCTCAGGCCCTGGGGCCGGGTAGCATGCCCCATGGAAACAGACACACAAGGTAAGGCAGGGCCAGGCAGGTGGCGGTGTGGAGAGGGGGGTGGAGGAACATGTCACCCTTCTGCCGGGAGATGAGGGCTCCTGGTGGGGCAAGATGGGCTCTGACCATCCAACATGACAGCCCCGGGGCGGGGTCCAGAGGTTGCTGCAGCAGGACAGGGCCGAGCGGGGCTCACCTGCTGGCACCCACCCTGGAGCAGGTCCCCCAGGATGTCCACGAGCTCCGAGAATGCAGGCCTCTCCTTGGGGTCCCCGGACCAGCAGCTCAGCATGAGGCGGCGTCTGCAGGACAGTGGCTGGACTGAAGTCAGAGGGCCACTCCCTGCACCCACAGAACCAGCCCCGAAACCGTCCTCACATCCACCTGCCCCCACCCCCAGGGCTCAGGCGCGGGTGTCCCTCCTGCCTGGCGGAGGAGGACAGGTGTGCCCTGCCTGCACGCCTCCTTACTCCCCCCACTTCCTGTGCCTGCACACACTTCCTTGTGCCCACACTGCCCCTTGTGCCCACCTCTCCTGTCCCCCAAAGCCTGCCTGGCCAGCAGGAGACTCACATGGCAGAAGTGGCCAGCTCTGGGGCCTTCATCCGGGTGCCCTCTTTCAGCCGCTGGCAGAACTCCTCATTGATCTGCACTCCAGGGTACGGGGAGGCCCCTGACGGCGGGAATGGGGTGGGTGGGTGGCGAGCAGACGCCTGATGCTCAGCCCAGCCTCCCAAATCGCCTCTGCTGGCCCCACGGCGGGGTGCAGGTCCCACAGCTCCTGGCAGGGCCTGGCACGGCTCTCCCTCTCCCAGTACCAGTGCTTCATTTGGTTAAAAGAGGACGGTTGCCGTGAACATTAATGTGTTGGAGACATATTAGTGAGACTAGGTTTCCGGATCATCAGGGTCCTAAGGGCCCTTTTGGTCTCCCTCTGCACTTCAGCAGCTACCCTCTTAAGACATGAGTCAGACTGCTCCCACCCTCTAACAAAGCCCCACATGGCTCCCATTAAATTCCAGGTCCTCACCCCCTGGCGTGGCCCAAAGGGGCTGCAAAGGCCATGTCTCCTACCTCTCCTGCATCTCCTGATGCCAGCCCTGCTGAGCCCTGCCCATCTCCGGCATGTGCAGACTCGGGCTTGGCTGCCCCCCCCCAACTACTGTACTCCCAGGCTCACCTGCTCACCGCCCTAACCCCTCACCCCACCCCCACCCCCGCCCGGCCCCTCCAACTCACACTGCCACCCGTCCTGCCTGGGCACTTCATGATCTCACTTTAGTAAAAGCACGCATCGCAGTGGCTACTAGATGCTTTCACTTTCCCACTTGTTCACTGCCTTGCTCCCTCCTTAGCGTATGGGCTTCATCTTGGTCCCAGTGGGGCCCAGGTTCCCACATGGGGCTTATATAAACGGGACCCTAGAGTGAGCACCCAGCCTCCTGCAGTCTGCTCCCAGCCCTTGAAGTAGGAGCAGCATCCCCACAAAGGTGAGGGGGGACCTGCTATGTCCCTCCCTCTGGGACCTGCCGAGTGAACATGGGCTCTGCCTTGGCAAGGGCTGGAGTATGCCACCTTCCAGAGGTGCCAGGGTAGCCCATGTTGGGGAGGCGGGTAGGAGGGGACTCTTGAACCTCAAAAGGACCTAGGCTGCTTGCTCCAGGGCACCACAGGGGCTGGTGGTGCAACCTGGAGCCTGTGACCCCGCCTGTGCCTCTCCTCCCCTTCCCGGCACTCACCCAGGGAGAAGATCTCCCAGAGCAGCACCCCAAAGGACCACACATCGCTCTGCGTGGTGTACACCTTGTCAAAGATGCTCTCAGGCGCCATCCACTTCAGGGGCAGCCGGGCCTGCAGGAGGCAAAGTAAGTGTGTCCCCTCGGGAGGGAAGAGAGGGAGGAAGCCAAACCCCAGATAGCCGCCCTCCAGTCCCTAGTTTCCCCGGGACTCTGGGGCCAGGCCCCAAGAGAGGCTTTCCAGCCAGCCCACTTGTGTGTCCTTCAGATGGCTCCTACAATTTGCCCTGCTCCCCACCTCCAGGTGCCTGTCACTTCCTTGAAGGCTTTTTCCCTGACGGTCCTGGGTCCCTGTGGCCCTCTCTGCCCCTGCACTCTCTCCAGAGGGCTTGCCCAGCCTCTGGGGGATCCAGGCCCCTGCGGGGCTTCCTCCTCCCCACCTCATGCACTCACTCGGCCCCCACACTAGAAGCTTGGTGTCACTCCTGACCCCTCCTCCTGTGGCTCCTGATGTGCTCCCCAGATGTCTCTCTCCCACTGATGGCCTCTACCTGGGAGCCCTGAAGGCCATGGCCTCTGCCTCCACCCCAGCACCCCACTCTTGTTTCCTCACAACCACAGAGGGGCCTTCTGGAATGCACTCCTGTCCCTCACCTCCACACGCCCCACACACCCGCCCCTCGCCTCCACATGCCCCACACACCCGCCCCTCACCTCCATATACCCCAACACCTGACCTCGCCTCCACATGCCCCACACCCCCACCCCTCGCCTCCACACGCCCCACGTATCTATGAGTTGCAGTGAAGACAGAAGCCCTCTACAGAGTGTCCTATCACAGCCTGGACCTGTCCTGGCCGTTGCCTCCCTCTTTCCAGCCCTCTTCCTTCCTTTTCCAGGGCAAACCTTTAATCTGCTGCGGGTGCTCATTTAAGTACCTGTCTGGCTGCCTCTGAGCGCCACTAACAAGACACACACTGCACCCAGCACCCATGGACTTTACTGTGACCACCCTGCACCCGCCGGTCCATCTCCAGGATGGACACTGTGCAGGCTCCACCTCTGCATGTGCAGCCCCCACAGGGCAGGCATGGGAGTCAGCATCCAACCAACGAACCAAGGCACAGGCCAAAACAGCTCCAATCAGAGCACCGTGCTCCCTGCTCCTCAGCTCCTGTCCCCACTCCCCTGTCCCAAGCGGGGTTACTTGGGTCCCTGCAGGCCCTCAGACCTTCCATGCTGCCACTGGTGAGCACCCCACCCTGCTCCTGGACAGGAGGCACATGGCCTGCACTCACACTGCCTTTGCGCACGTAGTCGGGGTCTTTGTAGATGTCCCGGGCCAGGCCAAAGTCACAGATCTTCACCACGTCACTTTCTGATAGCAAGATGTTCCGAGCAGCCAGGTCTCTGTGGATGCACTAGGGGCCGGAGGGAGCGCGAAGAAGTGGTCAGCACAGGCCCCTGAGGACACACCCATGCCGGTGCCCTGCTCTGCTCCTTCCAGCACAGATTTGTGCACCCCCAGGACTCGCTATGGAGAGGACTTGTGGAGTCATTTCCCGGCTTTGGGCTGTTTCCTTCTCTGCCAAGTGGGAGAGTTGGGCCTCCACCACAAGGTCATTGTGAGGTAAGCTAGGACCGCGCACCCTGGTGGTGGGTCTGTGCCCTTCTCCACTCTGAAGGGCTGCTGGGGCACTCACCTTGCGGGAGGCCAGGAACTCCATCCCTCGGGCCACCTGGAAGCTGTAGCAGACCAAGTCTTCCATGGTCAGCGGGCTCAGCCACAGGTCTTCGGCTGCACAAAGGAGCAAGGTAGGCTCAAGAGGGCTCCCCTCCATGACCTCCATCTTCCATACTGTCCCAAAGGGAGTATTTGTTCACCCAACTCTGGCTGCATCTCTCTTGGCGGGGCCCCTGAGGCCCGTGGCACTAGCTAACAAGCCTGCGGCCTGGCTCCCATCCCTCCCCTCAGTCTCCACTCTCTGCAACACCCACTAAATACTTCCAGGTAAGTGAACAGTGCTGCACCACTGGACCTTTGCACCTGCTATGTCTGCCTGTCTGCTCCCCCTCCCTGTCTGCAAGGCAAACTGTTATTTATCCAGTGATGCCCAAATCAAATGTCAAAAGTCTCTATGGAAACTGTCTCTGAGATGTCCTCCCTTCCCTAAGGCAGAACCCAGTACATGTTTTCCCATATAAGACCCTCCACCAAAGCCCCAGGCTGGCTTATCCCAACTCCCTGATCATGAGGTATCATGGTGCCGGCCAGACATCCTGGGCAAGGGGAAGCCAGGCTCTTACCTTCTTGGACTGGAGGGGCCCGCCCCGCCCCGCCCTTGCCCATCAGCAGCCGTGTGAAGAGGGCCCTGTCGCTGCTCCCGGGCCTCCTCCGGTCGGCCTTGGCGCCCTCCACCATGGCGCGGAAGCGCCTTCGCTGTTCAGGAGATTTCTCCTGCGGGTGCACAAAGCGGGTCCGAAGGGGGGCTCCGCCGCCCACGGCAGAGGCATTCCCCCATCCCACTATGGCGGCCAGCTCACGCAGAGCTCTGGCCTTGGCTGGGCGCCCACCTACCGTGTAGGGGCTGAAGGCCTCCCGCTTGGCGCGCAAGAAGTTGGAGAGGTTGCCATACTTGCAGAACTCCACGATCACCATGAGGGGTCCTGGGGCAGGGCAAGCGCTAGGTGACCAAGGACACGCGGAAGGGCCAACACCAAAGCAACGCCCCCGCTCCCCAATCGCCCTGCTTCCCGGCCCGCCCCCGCCCTTTCCAATCTCAGCCCACCCCTCGCCCCAGCAGACCAGTGCCCCCGAGAGCCTGGCCCTCCCCCCAGGGCTCCCTGGCCCTCCCCCCAGGGCTCCCGAGCTCGGTACCGTTAGGCTTGGTGCACGCCCCCAGGAGGTTGACCACGTTGAGGTGGTTACCGATGTGGATAAGGATCTTGAGTTCCGACATCAGAGCTCGGTGCTCGCTCGCTGTGGCGCCCTCTGGAGGGGACAGAGGGGATGCATGTGCTGCCAGGTCCACCCAGCCTGGGCCCCAATACGCTTAGCTTAAGGTACTATCAGCGCTCCTGCCCGCGCGGGCGCGGGGTCCCCAGCACCGCCCAGCCACCCCTCTGAGGCAGGGGTTCAGGTGGAATTGGGAAGGATTACTCAAACCTGAGCCCCGGCCCGGCTCTGACTCCCATGGACTCTCTGTAGAACGTTGGGTGAAACTCTGACTCTGAGCCTCAGTTTCTCTTCTTGCACCACAGCCCACCCAGAGCCCCTGCTTCTCACCCGCACAGCAGCCCCGCCCGCCCGCTGACCTTTCAGCATTTTCACAGCCACAGTGTCACAGCTGCTGCCCTTGTTGATTCCGAAAGCAGAGGCTTCCACCACCTTCCCGAAGGCTCCATGGCCCAGGACTCTCCCTGTGGAGGCAGGGAGCCGGTTCCAGGTGAGCTGCATGGAGGTGAGGGTGGAGAGAGATGGGCAGCAGGGGCAACCCGTGTGGAGGGCCAGGAAGGAAGGCCCAGGAGGGGGAGGAAGGTCGGGAGCCCCTCTGCCAAACAGGAAGAGCCTGGAGAGCTGAGCGGACAGAGGGAGAGGAGAGGCAGACAGGAAGGCCTGCATCCTCTCCCAGCAGGTGTGGGGGCCCACCCTGCTCAGAGCAGCAGGACGTGGTGACCTCTGGGGCCTGGGAACTGGGAACCCTGGCTGCGGCTTTGGGGATTCATTCCCAGATGGACAGGTCAGGCCAGGTGAGGGCCCGGTGGGACTTTCTGGCATGAGTTCTGAGAATGGGTGCATTTTCAGGGCTCCAGCCTGCTGGCCCCACAGCAGCTGAAACTGCCCCTGCCAGGTAGGACAGGGTGGGTGGGGCATACTGGGTGCTGTCCTCACCGAGGTGCAGCCGCTCCCGGGGGAACTCCCACTGGCTGGCATCATAGGACAGGTATTCACACTGCTCCTCCAGAGGCACCTCCCCAGGGTCCATGATAATGGACAGGTAGCCGGTCTTGATGTCTGCGTGGGCTGGCTGGAGATGGGGGTGGAGACAGCTCATTGGCTAGGCCATGCTGCTGTGGCATGGGTAAAACTTTGCCCAGGACAGATGAGATCTCCTTCAGGGCTCTCAATCAATGAGGGGACAGTGGGACAAAACCTCTGGTCACATAAGAACCCAGCACGGAGGGGCCAGGGAGACTTCTGGGGAGAAGGTGCTTCCATGAGCCACGACGAGGACCTTATTCCTTATCTTACAGGCTGGCCAGGGTGAAGAGCAGACAGAGGGAGTCATGAGGAACTGAGGAAGGGAGTACTCACCCTCCTCATGTTACAGAAGATAAGGAGGAGCAGCAACCAGAAGAAGACCGCGATGACCCCAGTGCCCACAAGGATTATGATCTCCATGCTGCCTTTATCCTGGGAGCCTGGGTGGGCAGAAAGGGCATATGTGAGTGTGTGCGTGTGTGCGTATGTGTGTGTGTGTGTGTGTGTGTGTGTGTGTGTAGGGGGAGAGGGTGCACTCCACGGGAAGCACCCCTTCTGGTGGGCACGACTTGCACGAGGTGGCCACAAAAAGGCACCAAGTGAGGGCAGGAGGTGGGCAGAGGGGCGCAAGGGGGAGGCCGGACCTTCTACAGCCACGCTGGCAGAAGAGTTGACACAGCCCTTGGCGTTGCACACACTGCACAGATAGTGGCCCGCGTCCTCCTCGCGCACGCGCTGGATGCTCAGCTTCTGGTTCGAGTCAGCCAGGTCAATTCCTGCAGGGGTGAAGGTTCGAGTTCAGATGGACCTGGGGCCTTGGCCTGAGAGCCTCCGCACCCTGCCCTTCTCTCAGGTCCACCCCCTACCGGACTCTTCCTCCAGCAGCCTCTCGTCTTTGTACCACACGATGCTGGGCATGTGCGTCCCAGCCACTGGGCACCGCATCTCCAGGGAGTCGCTCACGTTCACCAGGAGGTCAGTCAAGTTCTGCATGAGCCGCGGGGCTTCCAGGGCTAGGGGCAGGAGTCGAGAGGGAGCTAAGTGCAATGCCCAAAGCCAGAGGGCACAGGTAAGGAGCCCTCCAGGGAGCAGAGGGGTGGGAGCAGATTGCATGAAGCTAAAAGAAGGGGCAGGGTTTGAGTGTGGAGTGGGAAGGGGACACTGGTGCAGACTCGGGTTCATGGATGGACTGCCCAGGTACATGTTGGACTGAGGGTGAAGGCTCCTTGGGAAGCGCTGCCCACCCTCTCCCGCCAGCTTTGCCCGCCTCACCCTGCACTGACAGGTACTTCTTGTGGCAATGCTTGTCGTGGCTGCGACGGTCTTGCACCTCGCACACATAGTCTCCTTCATGCTCGGGCTCCACATGTGGGATGGTCAGGCTGAGCGTGGAGTGGCGTTCACCCGGCACGGCCTCCTCCAGGGTGGCGGCCAGGGGCGTAGCAAATAGGTGCACGTTCTTGCAGTCGAGCAGCAGCGGGTTCCCGTGGGCATCGTGCAATGTGGACAGGTTGAGGCGGTACCAACGCAGATGCTCATAAGTGTAGTTGTCCGCCCGGCAGCTCAGGCGCACGGCCTGGCCCTCTAGGGGCTCCTCTGACGGCTCCCATTCAATGCTGAAGCCATCAGGGATGGCTGGGGTAGGAGGAGGAACCACTTCGTGACATTGTGCTAGTGACATTGGGCTTCACCTGCCAGGTGCTTGTTCTCCCTTTCCCACAGGCCTTTGGACTCACTCAGCTCTCAACCAAAGGTGTGCATCATGAGAATCCGGGCCAGGGACACCACCGGGAGATCTTCACACCCACCCCTGCCCCTCACTGACCACCAGGGCCAGCCCACCAAAGTCGGCTCCACAGGCTCTCCTCCTGTCTGCCTCCTTGCAGCTCTCCCTGGACAAGCCCCCAGTGGGCTGCTGTCCCCACCTCTCCCAGGAACCCAGTCATCAGTGAGTTCCTTGTCACCAAACTCAGTGGCAGCCTGAGTCCCCATCCTCCCTCGCTGCTGACCACACCCCACCACTGTCCTCTCCTTGAAACAATCTCATTGTTTCATTAGCTTTCAGCAGTGGCCTTCTCGCTCCAGTTTCCTCTGGCCACTCCTGGTCAGGCTCCTGTGGCCTCCTCTCCCTCCTCCCCTCCCCCAGGTGTTCTCTCCAGCTCCATCTCTCTTCCAGATGCATGCCTCCTCCACCCTCCACACCCCTGAGCCCGGTGACTTCCTTTTTGTGGGCTTCTTAGCTTTCCTGAGCTTACTAACATGGCTAAAAATCTAAGGAAACTACAGACCTTCTCCCCAGGACAAAACGTACGCCTGAGCTGCCTCTTCTCATCCAGGGCTTGGGAAGGAGGTGCGAGGCAGGCAGAGTTAGGTGGAGCTGCAAGGTGCAAGACGCCACCCCTAGGGGAGGCACCTCCAGGGCTGAGGGCAGAGGGTGCTACTCCATCCCAGTGGACCAGCATCCCAGTCCATATGCCATAGCCTCCAAATCTATCCCTCTCGCCCAGGCCCAGATGCCCAGTATATTTCTCCCGGGTGTTCCACAGTCACCAGAACCTTGGCCCCAACGTGGTCTCATCCTCCTCTCCCAGGCCTGCTCTCTTCCTGTGTCCACTTGGTCCCTGACCTCTGCCAGGCCCACCCAGGTCACTCACTGGTCACGTAGAAGTAGATGAGCCGCTCGTCCTGGCCCACTTTGTTGAAGACCACACACTTGTACATGGCGGACACATTGGCGTCCTGGATCACCAGCTTGCTCACCGTCTGGGCAGAGCACAGGCAGAGGATCTGTTTCCTGCCTGAATTCCCCCCACCCGACCTTCCCTTTCTGCAAGGAGGCTGCTGTGCCCACCAGAGGAATGGGAAAACTGAGGCTCTGGGCTGCAGGTGACAGAGCTCAGAGACAGGACCAGGAATGTGAGGCAGGGAAGAGAGGGTAAGGCCTTTGGGCAGCAGAGGGAGGGGGCTCTTCTGAAAAGTCAAGGAAGAGTGCTGTGGACAGCTGGCATCAGCAGTAGCTGGGGTCAGAGGGTGCTGTTAGGGCTGGAAAGTCTTCTGGCTGTGGATGGGCTCAGGCTGTGGCCATGTTGAGGAGGGGCCAGGGGCCTGGTGGTGGTGGGTCAGTACAAGTCAGGGTCAGGATTCAGGCTGGGGTTACATCAAAGGCCAGGCTGTGGCCTAAGCTAAGCAGCTGGTCACTGTGTGAGATCCTTGTGATGTACCCACATAGGCTCTAGGGCTGCCCACAGCATCTCCGTCAGTGCTCTGGGTGGCCGCAAGGGGAGGGGCTGGGGCCTAGACCTCCAGAAGGACTCTGGCCTGACGGAGTAGGGAGCTTGGAGCAGGGGAGCAGAAAGGACCACAGGCCCTGCCTACCAACCAAAGACCCCCCCCCCCGCCCCACAACACCAACCCCCCCAACACCAAGCCGGGTACTTCCTGGCCAGGCCTGGAACAGGAAGAGGCTCTGGAGGTGTGTAGGAAAACAGGAAGTGACTGTAGGAAGTGGGTGCCTTTGTTCAGTCACCTCCCCCCGCCTGGCCCCTTCTAGGCATTGCCCCTAGGCTGGGCCAGCAGCTTACCAGCCTGGAGCCTATGGGCAGCTGGGGCCCATGGCCTGGCCAGGCGGTCTTGGATCTCAACTTCTCTGTTTGGGAAGCAGCTGAGGTCCGGCCCCCCACCCACAGGGCCAGGGAGCTGAAGCCCCAAGATACTGCAGAAAGGTCACTGACTCAGCTGCCATCCCCAGAGCCCTGCAGGTCTGGCACAAACCAAGAAGGCCAGGAGCAGGCCCCTGCCTCCTCTTTTCTCCTCCTCTGCCAGTCAATGCATGGCGGAGTCGTACCTTATTCTTCCCCTCCACAAACTCAGTCCAGGTGTCCAGGCTCTCAATGGGGTTCACGGCGCCCTGCATGGTCACCTCCCTCCAGTCCTGGCACTGTGGCATGCGGTCTCGCTGTTGCCGCCGGCTGCCGGGGTCAAAGAAACAGAAGGGAAGGTCAGAGGTATGGGCTGGGAGGGCCTACACTGAGTTGAGTCTTTGTCATAGTCAGGGCCATCTTCCATATCATGGTGGATGAGGGGTGAGCAAGGGGGCGGGGGGCTTGATTCTGGAACACTGTCTCCCACTCTTCAGGCTCAGGGCCTTGTAACCCATCCTGCAGGGACTGCCAAACACAGCCTGCTGAGCAGCACACAGTGTGGCTCTGTGGTCGCCCTCCAGCCTGCTGTGCTTACCATCCCCCACTCCCATGTGCCCCTCCTACAAAGTGCACCCAGATCTCCAGGGGCAGCAAAGACACCACTTTTGCTCCAGGAAGCTCTCACTCTCCCTCCTTTCCTCCCTCCTTCCCCCTTCCAGAGCTGCAGCCTCTCCCTGGTCCAGGTGGCATCTATGGGTCTCCCACTAGGATCTGGGACCCCAAGGGAGGTCCTTGTCTGCCCCTAGCATGGCAGAGTGGCCCCAGGGCACTGTCAGTTGGTACAGAGAATAATGGTAGATCTTCAGAGGGAAGCAAATTTGGAGGGGCCAACAGTGACCCGTGGCCTTATGAGCCTTAGACATTTCAGGCCAGCTCAGGCCCACAGACCACCCCTACTGAGCCTCCCTCACTGACCACGCTGGGGCGTCAGCCCCTCTACCCGTGCTGCTGCCCTGTTTCCTCCCTGGGTTCCCAGCTTCCATCCTTCCCCAGCTTGTGACCCTCCATTCTGCCCGCAAGGATCTCTTACTAAATCTGACCCATTACTCTTCTGCTCAGCACCCTTCCCTGTCTTCCTAGTGCCTCTGGCCACCCAGGCACCCTCCTCTCCTGTCGCCTGCTTATCCAAGTTGTCTCTGCCCTGAGTGTTCTCTCTGGCCTGTCCTGCTGGCACCCAACTCAGTGTAGAGGAGTGTGGCCTAGCAGTCAGAAAGGACATGACCTTGGGAAAGTCATGTCCCTCCTCAGGCCCTCAGTTTCCTCCTTTGTAAGGGGTGCCAGTAAGTGCTACACAGATGAGCTCATGAGCACGTGGGCACGTGTGGTGCCATGAGGCTCAGTGCAAGTCCCGTGAAACTGGCCCAGGTCTGCCTGCTTGGCAGGTGTCCTCCTGGGTGTCCAGAGGCACGTCCCTTGGTCCTCTCCAATGATGCCAGTGTTTGTTTGGGGGCTTTGCTGGTGAGGGAGGTGTGTGGGGCCTGACTAATACCGGGAGGGTCTGAGCTTTGCTTGGATGGGGTAAGGTCAGGGACTGGCTGCAGTGCTTTCGTGACAGGGTTTGAGTTTACAGCAGGGCTCCGGGGAGGAGTGCAGGCAGTGAGTGGGGGTCATGGCCGAGGTTGGGGCAGGGCTGGGAAGTAGGAAGGACAGGCTGGAGCCACACTCACGTGCTGCGCTGGGCAAAGGTCTTGCAGGGCGTCCATGGCCGCCAGTGCCACTGGACGCTGAGAGGAGGGGGCACCCCGTAGGCAGTACAAGTGAGGGCCTGGCGACTGTGGCGGGAGTAGATGCTAGGGGAGGAGGCCTCCTTCTCATGGATGTGGGGGGGCACTAGGGGCATAGGCAAGCAGCTGGTCAGCCAGCAGCCCGCCCACCCACCATCCCCTCTCTTGCCCTCCCACCCCTATACCCTACCATTCACCACCAGCTCCAGGCTAATGTTGCGCCTCAGACCAGCCGCGGAGTTCCACAGGGCGAGGGTGTAGATGCCCGCACTGGCCTCTGTCACATCCTTGAGGACCAGGGCATGTGGACTGTGGCGCCCCGACACAGCCTTTCTGTCCTTGTACCTGGCCCAGGAAGGGAGCTCAGGGGACTGCATGGACCCGCCCCAGCCTGTCCTGGTACTGCTTTCCTGCCCGCCGCAGCCTCTGCAACCGGAACGTCCTGTGGGGGGGGTGGGGCCCCTCCAGAACAGACCAGGAGGCTGCTGGGAAGGGCCTGCCGGGGTGCAGACTGGGGCAGCCAACACTGCACTGGGGAGCAGGTGCCCTAAAGGCTATGGGGGGTGGTCTCCAGGCGTGACCACAACCCTGACAGGAACACTGGAGGTCTGCAACAGCACGCTCGCCAACCCCAAAGGTCTTCCCACAGGTAGTGAGCTCAGTGCAGCCTCCTTCTCTCTGGCCAGCCTGTGGCCAGGGCCAGGCTTTGGCCACCAGGCTCAGAGGCCAACCCCAGGAGGGTCCTGCCCACCCTCCCAGTAGGCCCTGTCTCAGTGCCTGCGGGGGGAGCGGTCCCGGAGTAGCACAGCCCTACCCCTGACCACCCCGGGGCCCTGCCTCACTCTCTCCTGGCTCTGCCTTCCTGCAGCCTGCATTCACGCTTCCCCCTTCCCCACTGCTTGCAGGGCCCCCTCCCTCCTACATGAAGTCAAGTACCCACTCATCAGACAAGACTCCCCCGGTCCTGTGAACCAGCACGGCCCTTGGCTTCTGCTGCCTACTCATCCCCGCGCTGGTTTTCATAAATGCTTCATAAATGGCTGTCCGTCTCCCCCACTGAGCTGTGAGTCCCACAGGGACTATCCCCTTATTGCCGTGTGTCCTACACAGAGAGGCGGCTCGTGCAGGTGCCCAGGGCGTCTCACTGCAGGTGCGGACAGACAGGTGCCGCACACCCAGAGGGTGGCTTCTCCTCAGTCCTGAGCTGGGAGTGCTGCCTCTGAAACCCAGTTCTGGGCTCCACCTGGGAACAAACGGTGCCCCTTCAGGCAGGCGCCTTCCCGGGTGTACTAGGCACAGCCCTCAGGCAGACACCAACAGTGAGGGGGGTGCAAGGGCCCTGCTCTCAATGGTAACACCATAGCCCAACTGGGAGGGACGTGACTGGCCCAGGGTCACACAGCGGGCAGGGCAGCACCGAGGCCGTGCAGCCTGCTGGGTTCTGATGCAGAGTCCCGCCTGCCCCTGCCGCGTCTGGGATACTAGCAAATCCCTTCACCACCCCAAACCCCGTGTCCTCATCTGAAAACTGGGGAAATGAAATGCACCTAGCAGGGATCATGAGGGCTGAGGTGTGGCACTTAGTGTCAGCCACCCCAGCTTGTCTGTCCACTAAGTTCCAATCAGTTCATTTACTCATAATCATCACACACCCAGAAGAGTGAGCCCCTATGGGACTGTGGTGACCACTAGTGCAGGTGTGTTGGTGGACAATGGGCCAGCTGAGCAATTCTGGAGGGGGACATTGGCCAAGAGAAAGGCCTGATGTGGTGGGGATGGCGACAGGCTGTCTGAGGATCAGGCCTGGGCCAGATCCCAGATGCAGCAGAGCCAGCCATGCACCCAGAGCAGGGCAGTCCTGTTGCCCTTGGAGGACAGGGGACAGGGCCCCAGGTGTCTCCAGGAGGCTGCACCTATGAGGAAAGCTCCAGGCTGCATCAGTGCCCTTCAGGACCTTGTCTTATGGGCCCTGGTCTTGTACCACATGTCCCCAGTGGACCTCAAAGTCCGTGGCCTCAGAGGCAGGGTCACAGGACCAGGAGAAGCCTGCTTCCAGCCTACAGCCAGCTAGATAGGTTCCCAGCTGAGAATGTCTGGGGCCTCTGCTTGCCCGGATCCAGGCTTTCAGAACAGGTTGTTTTGCCTGACGGGAGATGCCAAGGCTGGAAAGGGTAACGCTCCTCTGGCCAGCTGGGGAAGGACAGTGCAGGGCCCTCCCAGGAGGCTGGGGCTCAAGTGGGAATGTCCTCCTTTCCTGGCCTGTTTTCTCATCTGTATCATGAGGGGGGTCAGGCTAGAGTGTGAACCTGCCAGAGTTGGGCCACATGGACTGCTCAGATGGCCTGAGGGTGCATGGGGGGTGCTGTGCCTTCTCCAGCTCTGGGGGAGCGCTCAGTGCCTGGCGAGGGTGGAGCCACCACTGAGGGATCCCCTCACTGACCCTCGGCATACTCTGCATGGGTGGCCTTACTCTCAGGACAGACCAGAGCCGGGCTCTGGCAGCCTGTGGGCCTCCTGGAAGCTCTCGCTCACTGCCTGTAGGTCAGGCCCTGCCCAGGGCCCGGCTCCATAATGGTCTGTGAACCCCTGTGGCACCTCGTATTTCTGTGTAGGAGGATCCTGGAGTGGCAACCTGTTCAGAAGAAAACCTGAAGCCATTACTGCAGGGCATGCCAGAGCTCTGTGACACAAAGTGGCAGGGCCCTCAGAGATGCTGAGCGGGTGCAGGAGGCAATTAAGAAGCACACATAACAGGAGGCCAGCATGTACGAGCTTTCACAGTTTAGTAGCAACCCAGGCCAACCTTCCCTCCTTAGAGTGTTTTTAGAGGAGGTCTCCACAGGGTCTCTGGGCGCAGGCCCTGCCAGGGAGCATTATGCCCTTCCCGCCCCAAGGTCCGTTCCCTAGCTGGGCTTGGCAGGTAGCGAGGGGTGGAAGCCAGGGCTGTACCATTGGAACTCCGGTGGGGGGTACGCTGCCAGTTTCACAGGCAGCTTCACCAGCTCGTCTCCTGCTGTGGCCTCCAGAACGGGATCCTTGAACCACTCAACGCTGATGAAGGGCTTTTCTGCCAGATGGGAGGCATCAGCGTAAATCTGGGGCCCAGTGTTGCTGACCCACCACTGCCCAAGGACTCCCAGCCACAGCCCCACAACCCCAGCAGCTAGACACCTGCAGACTGGGGCTGGCCTTGCCCTTCAGGGTGTGGAGGCCAGGCAGGCCGTCCACTCACAGCCCTCCCTTCCCTCCGGCTGGACTCCACACTGCTTGGTGCACTATGACCTCTGACCCTGGGCCCACACTGCACAAGGACCTTTGTTCTCCAGGCTTGATACTGAGCCCCAAACCAGCCAGGCCCTGCTGGGCACGTCGACCCAACCCCGTCCATACCGTGCACAATGACCTCGGTGCTCTCCCGGAAGCGCTGGATGCCGTTGTTGGCCTCGCACACGTACGGGCCCAGGTCATGCTGGCTGACATTGTAGATGGTCAGGATGCTGGAGAGCTCTGTGTGCGTCTGCTGGGAGCGCCGCTCTGGCACCCACTTCGCCCGCTCTGCCTGCCCACACCCAGGGGAAGCCCAGGGTCAGAACAGGTGGGCTCCGGCAGGGCTGACCACCAAAGGCACACACCCAGCCCAGCCAGCAGTGGCTCCGGGAGCACCCAGAGTGGTCCTTGGGGTGGGAAAACTTCCACATCAGACTGGGCCTCTGGAGCAGAACTGAGTCTGCACCGCCTCTAAACAGAAGCCATTGTGTGCCAGGTCAAGGTGGGTGTGGGCAGTAACGGGTCTCCTGGGGACAGTGTGGGCACAGGATGGGTGTAGGCAGTGGTGGGGATTCTTGGGGGTGGTTCAGGCACAGCCTCAGGCAGGGATGCTGGCCTCACCTGCTTCCCTGGATAGTCCCAGTCGAAGGTAACGCCAGAGTTGAACTCGGCCCACACGGTGCAGTTCAGGACCAGCTTCTCCCCGACCAGCAGCTCCACTGACTTCTTGGGGAACAGCTGGATATCATAGAGCTCATTGCCTGGTGACACACACAAACAGTGACTCCCCCAAACCCCTCACTGGACAGCACACACAGAGTAGAGGGCGCCGAGCACCCAGCAACGGCACCTACAGCCCCATGACTGGGAACTGGGGGCTCCCTGTTCTCCTCCTGCAACTCTCCCCGCAGAACACGGGGTGCAGGCACTGGGCCAGGACCCCAAGGCCCCGGGCCACACCTACCTGTGATGTGCACAACGAAAGGGTTGGATAGGAAGGTCTGGCTGCCCCAGCTGGTCTCGCACTGCAGGTACAGGGCGTCGCGCAGCAGTGGAGTGGGCACGCGCATGCCGCGGCGGTCGTCCCACACCACCTCCTGCCCATCGGGCAGTAGCACCGAGCTTTGCTGCAGGACATGGTGGCTGTCAGCACCCATGGCCCCTTCCCCCTGGCCAGGTCAATGGCCGCCTTTCCCAGGGACAGGACAGGAGGGCTGGATCCGGGGTGGGGTGGGGGTGGGGCTGTACCGAGCGCAGCGTGATGTTGAGGCCCGGGATGGACACCAGGCAGGGCACCCACATGGAATCTTTCCTGTTGACCAGGAGTGTGTCCGGCTTATTGATGAATGGTTGCTCCAAGTCTGCAGAGAGGGAGGCAGACTGTGGGAAGGGCAGGTGGGGGGCGCAGCAGGACAGTCCCACAGGGTCCATAGGCCGGGGGTGAGGGTGTGGATGCTGGCTGCCCCTCTGGGACCTAGGACCCTGCCTGCACCACATGGATGGCTGCAGGAGTGCATGATCTGGGCCCCTCACCTCTCACGAATACGTAGGTGCTGGCTGCGGTCATGCCCTCGATGCGGGCCTTGATGTATTTGTAGTAGCAGCGGTAGCTGCCCGTGTTGTTGGCATGGGCCTCACGCAGCAGCACCACCTTGCAGTAGGGCCTGGCGTCTGTGCCCTCGCAGTCTCGCACGAACCCCGTGTCCTCGCTGTGCTTTGCCCCTGTGGCGGGTGCCTCCTGAGCCCCTGGCCAGGCCCACTCGAGAGGGTGCTGCCCCCTGGCAGAGGACACGGAGGTCAAGAGTGGCCTTACTGCAGCCCTGGGGGCTGCAGCTTGCCCATGGGTTGTCTCACCCAGAAGTCAGGCCAGCCCAGCGCTGGGGCACACACCATGGACCCAGCCCAGGTGGAGTACTCTGAGTCCCCTTGGGCCTCCGCCTGGCTCCTAGGCCTCCGTGAGACATGGTGGCCTACAGAGAAGCCAGAGCCTGTAATAGCTGGGCTGCAGGGAGGACAGCATATGACAGCATATGGCCTGTGACAGAGGGTAACTGGCCTGAGGTGAGGGTGGCTGAAGTGGGTGCAGGGTGACCTAGGTGGTGGGCATGGGGTTGCCTGGGCTCAGTGTGGGGTGGCCCAGGAGTGAGTGCAGCGTAACGGCTCTGTGGTCCATGCGAAATGACCAGGGTGGGTGTGGGTAAGGGAGGTGTAGGGTCCGCGGCTCCCACACCCAGGCTCCCAAGAGCCCCACTGGGTCTCGAGGCCTCTCTGCCCTGGGAAGGGCCTGCCTTCTGGGCCCTCTGCCACCATCTCCTGCCTCAGCTCTGTAGTCTCCTTGGTTGCCAGGTAGGAGGGACCCAGGCTTCTGCCCCGGGGGCTGAGTACCTGCAGGAGATGGACAGGCTGTCACTAGAGTCAATGACGTATGTCTCCTCTGTGATATTCAGGGTCGGCGGGGTCATGGAGTAGCCACTCACCAGACCTGGAGTGGAAGACAGGGTTAGCGTGGCACTGGGTCATGAGTTCACAGGACAATGTCCACCAGGCGCAGAGCCCTCCTCGGGCAGGGGCCCTGAACAGCATGGACAGAGGCCCCAAGAGAAACAGTAGCCTCCACCTCCCTGCTCCCTGCCCCTGTCCAGGGCCCCCCAAGTGAGCCCTGACCGAGGCCTGGGCTGAGCACAGACCTCTGGCTCCATATGAGCCAAGCTGCCAGCATGTTGACAGGGAGACTGCAAACCTCACCCTACATTGGGGAGGCCTGGAGCATGTCACCTCAGCTTTGTGACCCCACATACCTGCCTGAAGGGCCCTCCCTCCTGAACTCCAGAGCCACAGCCACAGATTGTGAGAGGGTCCTGCACAGTGCAGACCCTCCCCAACACGCCCAGAACCAAGGCCCAAGGTCTCACCCCTGAATGATGCCTGTGGGCTCGTGCTCTCACACAGAGTCCACTGCATGTGCCTGTGGCTCCATTAGCTTCTGTCCACCCTCCACACCCCCACTGACTGCCCCAGCTCCCCCTGACTTCCCCGCCTCAGCCCCCCATTTCTCCCACAGGGCTCATCCTCAAACATACAAATAACTCTACCTCACCTGGTTGAAAACCCTCCCACGGCCCTCCGGGACCCCAGCCCTTGCCTACCATCCTCCTGCCAGCGGGATGGATGTGTGTGTGTGTGTGTGTGTCCATCGGCGTGTCTCTGTGTGTGCATCTGTCTCTATCTGTGGGTGTGGTCCTGTGTGTTTGTGGGGCTGGTGTATGTGTCAAATGTCTTTGACATGTCAGTGTGTGGGCGCACATGGACTTGTGCGTGTGTGATCCCGGCAGGAGTGGGAGCAGGCCCCAGGGAGGTCTGGACCTGGGACTCCGGCAGATGCTTCCTGCCAGGACCATCCTGAGACAACAGGAAGAGAGGACTGCGTGGCTCAAGGTCCAGGGCTGTGTCCTATCCCTTCGCCCAAGTCCCTGTCCTCCTGGGGGACACAGCCCACTACCCCATCCCAGCCCCCAGTCCCTTCCAACCCCAGGTCGGGCTCCTCTGCCCTCCCTAACCCAGCTCCCCAAGGCCCGGGGCCCCGCCCTAGTTGGCTCTAGGCCACCCTGGCCTACCTCCACTCCCCAACCACTAAGAAGAGGTACCAGGGTGGCACCTTCCACACACAAAGATCTCATTTTGGCATCACACGGACAAGATGGCCAGAGCTGGGAAGCCCTCACCAAGCATCTAGTCCCACCGTACAGAGAGGGAAACTGAGGCCTGCCCGGGGATTGCACTGCCACCCTAAGAAGGAAGCCCCTCACCTGGCCGGTGCTTTGACAGCTACAAAGTCCCTCCTTAGCCTGAACCCAGCGTGCCCCCGCCTGGCACTCAGGCCAGTACCCCTGGCCTCGGGCCCTCAAGGTGGGAAAGTGGCCCTGGGCTCTGCTTCCGTGGGTCTTCTCCATGTGGGCTCTGCCACCAGGTCCACTCATCTCCAGGTGGGTGCCTGGCCTTCCATGCGCATCAGTCCCCATCCAGTACCTCCTGGGCTGCTGGAGAGGGGCCGCCCTGCATGGGGAGACTCCCCTGGGGTTGCCAGGGGCTGGGAAGGAACCTGAGAGGGCAGCTCTGAGCTGGACCTCGAAGAAGTAGTAGCATTTTCCAGGCAGTGGAAAGTGAATAAAGTCACACCAGGCAGACAACTGGCCTCGGAGCTACAGAAGAGGGGGAATGATGGGCTTGGGTTTGGGCCTGTGCAGGATGAAAAAACTGGCCCTCCTGATGGACCAGTTAGGAGTCAGGCCTGAGACGAGTGTGAGCACCAGAGGAGAGCCTCCGCAGCCAGCACCCACCTGCCCTGGGACTGTGCTTGTCCCGCGGTGAGGCCTGCAGTGTTGCCCCAAGGCCCCCGGGGAGGCTGAGGGCCCCTTCTCTGGGATGCACATCCAGGGCACACACCTGATACTCCTAGCGACGGAGCTGTGGCAGATGTTAGCCCAGCCTCCTTGGGCAGCTCCCCTTTGCTTCCAAGATAAAGTGGGGCGTGCCAGGCTTCTCCTTTCTGCTGACTCCCCTTCTCTCCACCTTCATTTCCTGACACATCTCCGAGAGGAACAGACCTCTCACCAGCATCCCCAAGTGCCAGGCTTTTCATATCTTGAACTCTTTACTCATCTTTTCGCCCAGGGCATTTGTAATCCTTCCCTCCTGAGATGCTGTCTTTCTAGAGTCTAGCTCATGCTTCTCTTCCTTATGGAGCAGTAATCATTACTCATGCGTGTCAGCCTCCTTGGGGATCTTGCCAGATGGATAGATGGGTGGATGGATAAGTGGATGGGTGGGTGGGAGGATGGTAGTATGGGGGAGTGGGGGGAGTGGATGGATAGATGGAGGGGTGGATGGATGGGAGTTGGGTGGATAGATGGGTGGATAGGGGTAGGTGAGTGAGTGGATGGATGGATAGGAGAATGGATCTTGTAGGAGCTCCCTCCTTAGAGGCCACCATACCACCAAAGGAAGCATGTGCACCACTGTACCAAGGCTGTACTAAAGGGGGACCATCCATTGTGCTTGCTAACCCCTTTAGCCAACCGTGTGACTCCCTCCTTTGCTGTCACCTGCCCTGACTTGCCCCAGTGCCCCTCTGTCTTCACTCAATTCCACTAGGACCTGCGTGCTCAGCAGGCTTTGCTGCAGGCCTCATTGTCCTCCATCCTTCCTGCCTGAACTGAAACCTGGTTTTCTGAGGACACCACTGCCCCTGTGGGTGGTTACTGCTTTCCACCGCACATGCCTGACATCAGAGAACTCCTTGTGGCCACCTCCCCTTCTCCGAGGGCACGACCCCCTCCCCACTAAAGCTGTCATCAGCTGTTGTCTTGGTCACTTCCCCTCGTTCTCTGCTCCTGGCTCTCCAGCCCCCTCCACTCAACTTGGGCCATGGTCCATGACTTCAGCACCCACACAGATGACTCACCAACACCCTGGACTTTGCGGTCCTCCCCTCCACTCTCCTCCACCCCACGCAGAGCACACCCTCTTTCCCGGGCACACCCTGGACCTGGCCCTAGCCAGAAGCTGCACCATCCCCAAATGCCTGTCTCTGAGCTTCCCTCCAGCCTCCTCTGTCTCCTGCTGGGTGCCCTTGTCCCACCACTGCTAAGTCCTTCAGCCGCATCAAAACGCCCAGGCCAGGAGCCCCTCCCCATCGCCACCCCTTCCTGGACTCACACTTGTCCTAACACAGAGTGGCCCATGGTCCATTATTCTGATCAGTCCTTTGCCTCGGGCCCTCCATGCCAACCCTGCGGCCGGCACCACCGGCCCCTCAGCGGCAGAGTCCCACGCTGCAGCCTCGCCTTTCTTTATTTGTTGGCAGACTTAATGGGCCCTGGGGCTGCAGTTCAGGGCACTCTCCCCACCCTCACTCCGCTGTTGCCCTCTCAGTATTTACTAAGTGAAGCCATCAGATGGAGACATCTCATCACCCCACATCCAGACCCCACACTCCCAGCCTGAGCCCTAAAGCCCTCCGACACTCTCCATCACGCCGACGATCCCAGCCCCCTGGACCTGACTCCTGCAGATCATTTCTTTCTCTTCTGATCACTAATATTTCTCTACGGAATCACCTCCTGTGATAAATAAATAAAAATAAAACCTCAATTTCTTGACCTTATATTCCCTTCCAGCCACTGCTCCCTTTCCCATCCCCCTTCATGGCAAAAGCTCTGCTCCCTGTTCTCCTCCTTTCACATTTGCTTGTCCTCCCATTGGGGTGCAGCCCCATGCCCTGCTTCATGGCCTCCCGTGACCTCCAGGCTGTGCTTGTGAGGACCCATGGGCGCTGGTGGGCAGGGAGCAGAGCTGTGCTTCCTGTGGGCCTTCTGTGAGCTCACCCTCCCCTGTCTTCTTCCTCCTGCTCTGTCCAGCACTAAATGCTGTGCTCCTCGCTCTCTGTTCTCCACTGGTCTCTCTCCTAAGTGTCCAGATACCTCCAAAATCTCTATCTCCCACCCAGACCCCTTCTCTCAACTCCAGCTTAAAGGATCTAGCTGCCACGTCACTCGGCTACCCCACAGACTCCAAGTTCCACATTTCTGATGCTGAACTTTTGACTCGCACCCTCTCACCTCTGCCAAAGGCTCCTCCTCGATAGCTTCCATCTCCCCAGATGGGAGTGGCTGTGGATGCCCACCTCTCCCACCCCAGCCCTTCTGTCCACCACCAAAGCATCTCAGAGCCAGCTCCTGCTCTCCTGCTGGGGGCTGGGGGCTGCCCACTGCACTCGGCTCCAGCGTGGTTCCCTGGGCCCGCTCTTGCCCTCCTCCACTCCTCACACAGCTAGTGATAGTTTAAAAGCATGCTTGTGTTTTCCGGTCAGTGACTTTCCACTGTACTTTCAGGAAAACTCGAACTCCTGACCTTGGGCTGCCCCCCACCCTCTCTCCATGCTCTCTTGGTCCACTCTCACCTCGTGTTCACGTCCTCCAGTCACCACAGCCTCTAAGCTGTTCCGTAACATGCCAGGCTTCTCCTACCCCCGGGCCTTTGCACACACCTTTCCTCCTGATTGCCTCCTCTCACATGCTGTGCACAGCTGGCTTCCTCTCACCTTTAGCTTAGGGATCACCTCCTCACCCGCTCCAAAACCAAACTCCCTTTAAGCTACAGCTCAGGCTCCTGGTGGCTCACTTCATCCTTCTTGTCACAATTTGTAATTACCTTATTTACTTATTTGTTTAACTTATGTTTTTCCATCTCCTCTACTAGACAGTAAATTTCTTTGCGGTAACGACCAAGACAGCCCTCCTTTCCACCCCCACGCCTAGCACAGCACCTGGCACAGCAGCAAGGCTCCGTAAATACTTCTTTAATGAATAAACGGATAGATGGGTGGATGGGTGGATTGAGGGATGGAAGGAAGGAAGGAAAGAAGGATAGATGGATGGTTGGGTGGATGGATAGATGATGGAAGGATGGAAAGATGGAAGGACA